CCATAGCCTTGACTATATGGATTAGATTAGTCTAATGAGAAGAGCAAAGGTTGAGAATATTAACTTTAGAACAATACATGGGAGAGAACTGTGATTACATAAAAAGTATTATGACCAAATTGATCATTTAACAGTTATGAGTCTATAGGCACTGAATAATATGACCTACAAATAAAGTAAAACTCACAAATTAATTCCTGAAGGAAATTTGAACATACTACCAATAGACAGCAACATTCAAGTAGACTGAAATACAGGAAATTTTATGTCACAAAAAACATAATTAGTTTGAACTAAACATTTTATTGGAGGAGGAAATGGCAACCCACTCCAGTATTCTTGCCTGGAGAATCCCCATGGACAAGAAGCCTGGTGAGCTACAGTCCATGGGTCTCAAAAGAGTCGGACATGGCTTAGCAACTACCCAACAACAACAAAACATTTCATGAATTTATTTGCTCACACATTACCTACGGGGGGAAAAGTGGCCTTGATCATATAAATATTTGATAACTCCATACAAATTAAATAAAAGTTAAGAAAAAATTTTTCCCTTATTTTACTGAAGTATAATTGATAAAATTATATATACTTTAAATATACAATGTTATGATTTGATACATGTATATTGTGAAATGATTACTACAATCATTAACACAGCCATCACCTTGTAGCTATCTTTGTATGTGTGCATATAAGAAAGCTTAAGATCTACTGTCTCAATAAATTTCAAGTATACAAAAGAGTGTTAATCACAATCACCATTCTATACATCATCCTCAGAACTTACTGATCTTGTATTTTTGACCAGCATCTCTGCCATTTCACCCTTCCCTTTACCTCTGCTAACCATCATCCTCCTCTGTTTCTATGAGTTCAACTCTTTTATTTTTTAATATTCCACAAATAGTAAAATCACCCAGTATTTATCTTTCTCTGTCTGGCTTATTTCACTTAGCAGAGTGTCCTCTAGGCTCAGCTATCTTGTTGCAAATGGCTGGATTTCCTTCTTTCTCATTGCTGAATAGCATTCACTGTATGTACACATATAAATATTTTTCTCACATTTCCTTTATCCACTTATCCACTAACAGACAGTATTATTTTCTCAACTTGGCTATCATGAATGATGCTCCCATGAACTTGGTAGTGTAGATAGCTCTCCAAGATACTGATTTTGTTTCCTTCTAATATAATTAGAGAAGTGGGATTTCTGGACATAGGGTATTTCTACTTTTAACTTTTTGAGGAATTTCCATGCTGTTTTCAAGCATGGCTGTGCCAGTTTGGACTCCCATCAACAACGTATGAACGTGCCCTTCTCTCCACAACCTGACCAAAACTTATCTCTTGCATTTTTCATAAAAGTCATTCTGATAAATGTGAGGTGATATCTCAGAGTGGTTTTCATTTGCACTCATAAACTGGTCACGTGAATGAAGAAATGGTAAATGATCAATAGGAGAATAATTTTTAAAATTATATAATCTTTAAAATGATCTCAGAATAAATTTGTTTCTGATTTTTACTGTTTATGTATCTGGCTGTCCAATAAGTTACGGAATCACTGCCTCTCTATCAACCTAAGAACTTCTCATATGAAAGAGTTAAGAAATGACTTATTAGCTGAACCTGAAACAGAAATAGACAAAGGAAGTGGTATTTTCTGAGAATGGGAATTATGAAACAAAAGAAAAGCTAATAAACCATACAAAGTATTGGGAGGCTGTCCCTGCTAGAATTCAATCTGGAATTTGCTCATGTCTGCCACAGATTCACTGTAGTTCACTGTACCCCTCATATCATACCCTAAATTATAGAGAGAGAGCAAGACTACTGAACCAACACCAAAAAAAGGCACTGATGCAGAAAAGACAGTGGGGCTCCTGAGTATGACTCATGATAAATTAAAATGCTTTAAATTCCAGTTTTGTTTGGATCTTTCCAGAAGCAAAGAGGAAGATCAGTAGCTATAGCTATAGTACTCTAATGAATATGTGATACATAAATTTTAATCTTAAGCAATCTGCTTTGTAAATTTATAAATTATAGGCAGTTAGTAAAAACAATGATGTTTAAGAAATCTATCATTTAAAGATATCTGATATGGAATTGCTAACTGAGAAAGACTGAATTTAGCTCTAGAACCTCACTGTATGCTCTCAGAGGTTTATGTATATTTTTCTTATTTTATTAGCTGTTTGTATTTCTGATTCTCGGTGTGTTTTCTCACATCCTCAGTTAATTCCACTGTGGCTTTCATAAGGTGTTTTAATAAGCAATTCCTTAAATGGTCCATAATAGTGATCAATTCTTTTGTCCAGCAGGGACACCTCAGATTAATAACACCATATTTATAATGATGTCTAATAATGCTTGTTTCTTTCTTGGAATGCTTTACATTATATTTATAATTTTTAAATTCATCCAATTTCTAAACAGGGATGAGACTATGTTTTCTATGAGGGAGTATATTGTCTTTTCACTCTTTAACACCAATGTGCTTAGTCACTCAGTTGTGTCCAACTCTTTGTGACCCCGTGAACTGCAGCCTGCCAGGCTCCTCTGTCCATGGGGATTCTCTAGGCAAGAATACTGGAGTGGGCCACCATGCCCTCCTCCAGGGGATCTTCTCAGCCCAGCGATTGAACCCAGGTGTCCTGCATTGCAGGCAGATTCTTTACCAACTGAGCCAGCAGGGAAGCCCCTTTAACACCAATAACTGATCACAATCATAGATAGTGTCACTAATGATAAGCTATATCAATCTCTAAGTTTCTCATGTTCAAACTCTACTCTTGTGATCGTATAAGGTGAATACACAAGAAAGAACTATCCGAAGTGCTGATAAGAGACAATTTCATATAAATTAAAGGTTATTTGAAAAGCATTACTGACACCTTCAGCAGAATCCTTTCTAATTACTAGAAACAGTTTAACCATTGTCACCGAGAGGGAAGAGAAGAGATGACAAATTTCTTCTGCATTGAATATTATCAAGGAGAAAGGATGGGAGAGAGAGAGAGAGATTCAGTTTCTGCATACAGCACGAGTATGAGTATTTGCTAAAGTATCAGTCTGGTGTAGTATGGAAAGTATCTCTGAAATGTTCCTGCTTTCAGCCATCATCATGCACGTGGACAGCAAACTATCCCCCGCAAAGCATATGTTCATCCATTTAATTCATTCAGCCATCCAATGAGGATCTTAGCACCTCTCTTGTGCCAGGCATAGTTCTGAGCTTTTAAGATACAGAGAAGAATGTGGCAGAAAGTTTCCTGTCCTTATAAAAATACATACTATAGCAGGATTAAAACAACAAAGAAGTAAAAATGGATGCACAAAGCAAGTTCAGACAGAGATCGGTGCTCAGAAACAAACGAGATTATGTGATGTTCCCAAATGGCTAGGAGTAGGTATACTTCAGAATGGAAAAGCAGAGACAGTGTCTGAACGAAAAGAAGCACAGCTTTTAACTACTGAGAGGTTGCTTATACAGGATTTTCCATTCATCTCTCTCTCGGGGTAAAATGATTTGGCATTTCACTAATTACTATCATTCCATATAAGTGCTGAAATGTCAGTCAATAAATGATTATCGGGATCCCACTGTGTCCTCAGCACCAGTACAATTGGATAATGTGGTAGAATTCAAACAAATACTTCCACTGCTGTGATAAAATATGAGGTGGGGAATGATGCTTAAGTCAGTAAATACTCAAACCTTCTTGTTTTGAGAGCTGAGTTTGAGCTTAAGCTTCCCCAGTCCATCCAATTCCCAGGAACTCCTCCAAGAGGAGGCAGCATTTGTTGCCTGCCGCTAGATGGCACCAATTATTTTCACATTTTTAAGAAGAAAAAAAAATAAAACAGGAAACCAACATATCTTTTTTTATGCAACGGCCACATTTAAAATGGAAAAATGGTGTTATGAGGCACCATGATTAATAAAATGATTATTCTTTTACTAGTGATTTTCTTATAGGAGGGAATCACAGCAATAGCATTATAGATGGTATGTTCATTCACTCACATGCATGTCTATTCGACCCATATTTCTTCCAAATAATCTGTGAAAATATATTAGCAGTATCTTTGAAATATTAAAAGGGAAAAAAAGTAATTGAATATATAGAAAATATATATCATAATTTAATATATATCAGGGTCAAAATATTTAATAAAAATATATTATGATATTACATATAATTTTTATAAAGTTTTGCAGGAAATAGTTTTAATAAAAACAATAGAGTTGTTTATTTTTGTAATTTCCACTTTGTCTCAAATAATAGTAACATTTATTTTTAAAAAACACGGTATTTATTATTTTAATTAAATGCAACAAAAATTATTATGAAATGTAAAATGGGATGTGAATCACTTAACTAAAGGTATATCTGATATTTTATATCAAAAATTTAATATGGATAACTTAATAAAACTTAAAACTTCAGAACTAAAAAAAAAACTTAAGATCTAGAAAAACACATTTTATCATATGACCTCCTTTTTTCTGACTAGTTTACAGTTAAATTAAAACATATGTAAGATTTTTTTAAAGGAAAAGAACATAGAATATCCTCATTTTATTTTTAAAAAAGGAAGTGGCTGGTAAACATTCAAAGTATGTTTATTCAGAAACAAAATTAACTGTTTTCATATCTCCCGGTAGAAACACAAAAATGGCTCTGGAATAAATATAACCTGCCATCAGTAAACTTCAGAATAAAAGGAAGTACAGTGACAAAATAAGAGGGCACATAAAATGCACTGAAAAGAATGTACACAGCATTCAGATGCTCTATGAATATATTATAATTATTTATAGTAAATGAAATAAAAAAGAAAAGTTGCATGCTCATCATGCTAACATATTTATTTTAAAAATCTAAACATCTTTCCTACTTCAGGATGAAAGATGAGTGCCTCAAACTAGGTGTTAATGTGACTATCACTACATTTCCTTCATTCTAAAATGGCCCGAATATAATACTCACCTTAATACTGGCCAGAGTGTTTTGCCTCATATTAAATAATGTTCTGTATCTCTGTTCTTCCTCATAGATTCTCTCTTCACAGGCTTTTTTCTCATTTACAAGATGATCAAATACAGCTTGTGCATGTTCCTTTTTCTCTCTCAAGGTTATAAACTGGTCACTATGAAGAAAGAAAGAGTTGCATTGGCCACTATTCAATTCACATTTAATTTTCTAACATGTATTTATAATATAGTTAAAAATACGCAACACTGAAAAGTCTTAGAACTAAATTTCTATGGAAAAATTCCCTGGTCCTTTCCATAGGTCTGTATCCATGACATACATCTAAATGATCCAGGTGGAAGACAATTTCTGGAGATTCAGTGGATTCTCTCAGCTGCTTACCCAGTGCACCTCTGTTTTGTTGTCATTCCAAAAGAACTCCCCTCCACACAGCACATAACTCCAAGGGTGCAGTCTGATCAGTTTAAACCAACCAATATGAGGCTAATTATTCACCATTTAAGATATATATTGGAGCTTCTCTAATAGCTCAGTTGGTAAAGAATCCGCCTGCAATGAGGGAGACCTGGGTTCAATCCCTGGGTTGGGAAGATCCCCTGGAGAAGGGAAAGGCTACTCACTCCAGTATTCTGGCCTAGAGAAAAGGCAAGAGCCGAATTCCATATAGAAGGCACTCACACATTCACTAAATGTGAACAAGGGCTCCTGTTTTCAAATTTGCTGACAACAGTCATAGTAGAGAGGAAGAAACACAAAAATGAGTACTTGTGTTGAGCTGATGAATCAACTAATCTTGTAGCTTACAGGCCTCTTGTTATGTAAAATAATTAACTTCCTTATTATTTAAGCTTGTGTGTGTGTGTGTGCGTGTGTAGTGTATATGTGAAAGAGAAAGTGTTAGTTGCTTAGTCCTGTCCAACTCTTTGCAACCCCATGAACTGTAGCCCGCCAGGCTCCTCTGTCCATGGACTTCTCCAGGCAAGAATACTGAAGTGGGTAGCCATTTCCTTCTCCAGGGATCTTCCCTACCCAGGGATAGAACTCAGGTCTGCCACATTGCAGGCAGACTCTATACCAGCTGAGCCACTGCCCCTATGTATTTTGTTATTTGCAATTAAGTACATCCTGACTCAAAGGTAAAATTATTTTTATGGTGAAATCAGTTATATTAGGAACTATACTAGTAGAAAAAAATCATTAAAAAGCAGTTAAAACAATGCTGCAAAAATAAATGTATTTTAGAAATAACTGCCAGAGTTGATCAGTAACCCAGAATCCAGAATAAGCAGAGTTGCAAAAGCTCAGCACTGTCTTATGTTACCCACATTCGTTTTCATCTCTACTGGTATGGAAAATTGAATCATTTTCACAGTTAGCTATAAAGGCAGCAGGACTAAAAATTTTGAGGGTCTAAAATGGTAAAGTACTTTGAATATAATATCTCATTTAACACAACAACCACCCCATGAAAGGATAATTATTATGGCCATTTACAGATGAAAAACCTAAACTTCAGTATACTAAGCTTGTATAAGCTAATTAATAAATGACAGACCCAGAATTCTAATCCAGTTCTGACTAGCTGTATTTGATTCAGCAGCTCAACACAAAATACTCTTTTTTTTCCCCTTCTTTCTCTATGCTGGCGGTTATTAGCAAATTTGAAAACATGACTCTGGTCACGTGTTTTAGACGGGTGCCTCTTCTTTTAAATGGAATAAAGTCCTCCCCTTTCATCTATCTCACCCCTGGTTTTTCCACTTCATCACTCATACTAACAACATCCATAACTCTTCTGTGACGTCCTGTGGAAGTATTCACTAATAGCGACATTGACACTAGGCGAAAGAATCAGTAGATTATTCCTAATACAGTTAATCTGCAGTAATCTTCCGTTCCAGTCCTAGTTTAGGAGTCAATTCGCACCATCAGAAGAGCATACAGTTTGGAACAGGACAAACCTACACTGGAGTAGTTCCACTGCAAATTAGTGTTGCAGTCTTCATCATGTGATTTCCCTGGGCCTGTTCCTTCAAAATTCAAGTGTGAATGTTACGATATTCATATTCATGTGTGAATGCTATGATATGTATGAATGCTATGATATAAGAATTTACTGTAAGAACTGGATGTGATAGGTGCTTAGATTGCCCTTACAAAATAGCCGGCACCCTAGGAAGTCAATCAATGTTAGCTTTAAGTCTTATTTAACACTGCCATCACTGTTAATTAATAGATTTGTAAATGACATAATAATCTTTTTCTCCTCTTCCGAGGTAAAGGCAGAGTTTAGTCAAGTTTAGGGAGGGAATTGATTCATTGAAACTTGGTGACCATTCTTGCTTTAAGGCGATATAATCTAGGTACAGGATGGAAGGAAACATAAGAGTTGAAATGGTAAAAATCTTGATGAAAAAAAATTAAATCAGCAGCTCCCCTATAACATCTTTGCAAGTTTAGTGTAAATTATATAATTTTAGGCTTTTCCCTTTAAGCCCTAAATATTTTTAAAGATAGTAAATGACACAGATAAATATCTTTCAAAGAAAATGTCTCCTCACTTTCTTACCTGATATTCTGATATGATCCAGGAATTTTCAGATAAAGCTGTATGATTATTTTGAAAATAAGTTTTTACCCTGTGGTAATAGCTAAACAAATCCTGTGGAGTTCATTGACTTGACTCCATTAAAATATTAATACATAGTATATGAGACTGTGAATAATGTTTTTCTGATATTTTATCCCTCAAGTGTTATGATTTGCTAATGGTGTATTAGCAAATGTATTTAAATCAAATCATCATTCTTAAACGTGCCCAATGTAAATTCCTCCAGTAGGTCTCCAAATTCTGTTCTCAATTGTTATAAAATAGAAAATAAGAACCAAGAGGAGTAAAGGAAGAGTATGTAGTTTCGAAGTGGGGAGGGAAGGTCTATGGATACAGTAAGTCTTAAAGCATGATCATTCTCAAAGGGAAAGGCTTTTGTCAGGTATGCCTCAGACTAACGAGGGGAATGTACAAGAAGCATTTTTAAGACAATTAATGTAAATAAATTACATGAAGGTTTTATACAATATCTATTTCTAAATTCTTACCTCAAAAATATTATAAAAAAGGTTGGGTGAAAAAAAGACATATATTATTAACCATTTCATATAAGAGAAATACTGAAATTAGTGGAAGAGATTATGAATTTCATAACAAATAAAAGTTCTTATGCTTGGAAAAGGAGAAGCATTAGCAGTTATTTAAATAAGAATAAGCCCAGAGGAGCAACAAAAAATGAAACCAATTTATGATAATGTGTTTAGACAAAAATTATAAAGTATCACCTGTATATTTCACACCAGATCATGACAGAAAATATATATCATTTCAGGAATAAATTTTAAACAGGGGAATTTGATCATATCTCTTTTATAAATGATAAAGTACTTACTTTAAATAGTCAAGTGTCTGATTAAAAGCAGCCTTTTCTTCTTCTTTTTGTTCTAAGTTCTTATTCAGTTGAATGATTTTTGAATGATAAAGAACTGTTTTACTTTTAGTGGTCTCTATTTCTCTAAAAATTTGTGAGCGCTTATCCTGGGGGGGAAAAATCAGGAATATTTTAAATACTAGAAGTTTCAAGTTCTTGCAATTTAGGAACACAAATGGTTCTTGGCCATGTGAACAATTAATAGCAAACAGTAGTTAAAGAAGAAGGGGACACATATATAACTATAGCTAACTCATGTTGACAGAGGCAGAGGCCAACACAATATTGTGAAGCAATTTTCCTTCAATTAAAAATAAAGGCATTTGGGAAAACAAACAAATCAGTTCAGTTCAGTTCAGTCGCTCAGTCGTGTCTGACTCTTTGTGACCTCATGGACTGCAGCACGCCAGGCTTCCCTGTCTATCACCAACTCCTGGAGCTTACTCAAATTCATGTCTGTTTCGTCAGTGATGCCATCCAAACATCTCATATTCTGTTTTTTCCCTTCTCCTCTCACCTTCAATCTTTCCCAGCATCAGGGTCTTTTCCAAAGAGTCTGTTCTTGCATGAGGTGGCCAAAGTATTGGAGTTTCAGCTTCAGCATCAGTCCTTCCAATGAATATTCAGGACTGATTTCCTTTAGGACAATGAACAACTTTAGACTAATTCTTCAACTTCAAATGAAAGGGGAAAAAAAGTCCTTGAAAAATATGAGCNAAAGAAGTCAATGTTTAATACCAGCATATTTACCCCAAGGCTGGCCGGTATAATCCCAGACTGGAGATTTGATTTGGCATCTATTTTTGCATGACCCCTTCATAACTGTTGGTGTCTACACTGACTGGCTGATTTCCTGACTGTGTGATCAACTCAATAAAGGTTGCTGACTCCACATCTGGCCCAACTTCTAGCAATGGATTCCAGTCTCAGCTGCTCCCCTTGCTCCTATTTTCCTCCATTTTCCCCTCACATGCTTCCTAATTCTTTCTCTATCCTTACAGGTTTCAAGAAGAATGAATTGCTAACCTTGTATACTTATTTTCCTATAAAAATCTTCTCTTTGTCCAAGGTTTGAAACACTGAGTACTGTATTTGAATTTTCATAACATTCACTCTTTTTTTTTTTTCTGGAAGCTCTGGAATTCTTCCACTAATAAATGAGACGATTTAGGTTGTTTGCTACCAGAACGTAGTCAAGCCAGCTGACGAGGATTCTTCAATGGACCCCCTAAGATATTATGTTATTTCTAGGAGAAAATTAAACCTAAAAAAAGTGTGAAAAGGTACAAATATGGGTAAAAATAAGGAGGAATGAATCAGAGACGATGGGCAACCGTGGGTCTGGCATGCTCTCTACTACTCCTGACTCAGTTCAGATTCCATAACCCATGCCTTAAATTTTAAATGAAGATTTTCATGGGAAACTGAGATTTCAGAAGCAATGGTGTCAACAACTTAGACCACCAATTCAGTGATGCTGAAGGCGGTGCTGGAGATTTTACAGTAAAGGAAAGAGACAGTGCACTTCCTGTTGACAGCAGTGAAAAGCAAAAAGTATATTTGTCGCTTTTCATAGGCAACATGGGGCTTCCCTGATAGCTCAGTTGGTAGAGAATCTTCCTGCAATGCAGGAGACCCTGGTTCAATTCCTGGGTCGGGTAGATCTGCTGGAGAAGGGATAGGCTACCCACTCCAATATTCTTGGGCTTCCCTTGTGGCTTAGCTGGTAAAGAATCTGCTGGCAATGTGGGAGACCTGGGTTTGATCCCTGGGTTGGGAAGATCCCCTGAAGAAGGAAAAGGCTACCCACTCCAGCACTCTGACCTGGAGAACTCCGTGGACTATATAGTCCATGGGGTTGCAAAGAGTTGGACATGACTAAGCGACTTTCACTCACTCACTCATAGGTACCTTCAGTGAGGCTTTGATAAATGTGAGCATCATATCCCCTTCCATGGTTTCAAAAATATTAGAGATATCCCACAATGAAAAAAGAAATTATTAGATGCCATATGTCAATCAAGAATATATGTCTGTGTATCCTGAGTGTGCAAAATTTGCGAGACCCCAAGAACCATTAGTGAGTCTTTATGAACGATGAAGTGTCACCAGAGCAAATTGGAATTTAGGCATAAACAGTACATTTATAATTTGGGGGGAAGTGAGAAATATATGTAAGGGACTAGATCTGATAGACAGAGTGCCTGATGAACTATGTATGGAGGTTTGTGACATTGTACAGGAGACAGGGATCAAGACCATGCCCATGGAAAAGAAATGCAAAAAGGCAAAATGGTTGTCTGAGGAGGCCTTACAAATAGCTGTGAAAAGAAGAGAAGC